TGGCGTGTGAGAGAGATGTCCACCTTTTATTTTCGTTGTTGGAGTCGCTTGGCAAGTTGAAATTGCCTCCAGCACCTTGGCAGTGTCAGCTGCAGATGACTCTGTGGTAGGAGTAGTGGCAGTGCCAACTTCCTCTGAGGGGTGTCCCGTACCTGTCTCTGGAATTTATCCAGAGAACGTGTAGTGGAGGCAGCCGTACAAGGGGGTGACATGTAGAGAGGACAGCGGAGCTCCAGGTGAGTGGATGGGGCAAGAATAGTGGAAGTAGGCACTCAGGATATCGAGGCAGGATGTACCGGCAGCGGAGCTCAGCATGCATGCATCCTACTCTGTCACAATCTAGGCCACGCTGCCAGTTATTAGGACTTTTAAATAACAATCATCCATTGAGGAACCCCTGTAATAGAATATTATGTAGGCCAGGAGCTTACATCTTCATCTTGTTCCATGTCAAAGAAGGACTTAAAATTGAGGACCAGGAAAATCACTAAACATACAGTTAAAAGTACAAACATTTTAGCAGGCAAACCGTTACTATATAGATTTAATTTGTCCAGTCTTGTGATTTTAAATACATCTGCCACATTGCATAGCCATAAATACCACACACTTGATTTCTTGTTCGGCTATGCAGTTTCCTATGTCCTCTTCCTGCCTGCTCATTGGGTAATCAATCAACATTGCCTATCCCCGATTAACAGGGAGGTGATCCAAGAAGCCGCAAGTTGACCCGGGATTTAAGCTGGTCATAGATTCTCCCACCCACAGAAGCAAATGTCAATCCATCTTTGACCTGCTTTAATACAGTTATATTCATGGTTGTGCAATAAATGTTGAGACCGATTTAAATAAAATTACAAATCCTTTGCAGATTGAGAAAAATATTCTGTGGTGTGTACCTCATATATGTTTTGATGATTAGCGTGGAAATCCAATTTAACGTTTCTGATGTATTAGCTACAATTGCTCTAATGATGGTTAAAAAAAAGTTGGTATGATTGCTCTTGGTTTCTGTTTTGTTTGTGTTTTTTTTTTAAGGGATGGGTTCTTCTTTTTAGCAGATGGCAATTTTTTTTTCCGCTTTTGTCTTTGCGGTTTGTACAGGGTTGAGTACATTTTGTAAAGGTGCGTTTTTAAAGAAATGTTCCCGACACATGACTGTATGGCTCATAGCCACTAGATGGCTTAGTTATGCAACTGCCTCAGCTGGAACTAACTTCAGTATGATGGACACAGGCTGGTTACAAGTTGCCTGTACTTATATTGTGCATATGTCTGTTTTTACTTAGGATCAGCTAAGCTGTCAAGGCTTAATTCTTACAGGTCCCAGAACAGATATCATCTGAACTAGTGTTTGTGATCTAATGGGAATAAGAAATGCCACTCTGTTATTTTTGGTTAACCACTGCTCTTATTCCTGTTTGATTGCTACCAAACGTATTATTAGGCTTGTTCACCAACACTATGATATACTGTGTATATTTCTTGCTATTAATAAAAATGGTATTAGCAGTAGAAAGTAACATGCTATATTTAATATATAATCAACAGATGGCAGTGCTGTAAGTTAACGTCAATAATCATAATCTGTAGTCTATAAATATATGTATCCAAATCCTAAATCGGGGGTGCTTATCCTTTTGAAAAGCCACTTAAGTGATTTGTTAACCGACTGCTGGCCATAATGAAATGGTTCTGAATTTCAATTTTTTTTTTATTTTGAATAGCACAATGAACATAGTTCTCCTACAGCTGAACGCCGGCAGGAGGGAGAGGAAGAGAAGCCAGCTTTCAGCAGTTGCAGGAGGAAAATGGGGAGGATTGGTTCCTGTATATGCTGCCCCTCCTGTCCAAGTGAATTGTAAAACAGAATGTGACAGGGAAGCCACACATGACACCTGGAGTTTGGAGAGGGGTTACCATTGCGAGCTCCTGACACTACAGCAGTGAATGGGTGGTGGTAAAGGCACGCCCCTCAACTATGGCGTTTTGCCTCCCTCCTCTCCCCCCCCCCCCCCCCCCCCCCCCCCCCCCCCCCCATACCAGCCCTTACTGTTCTGAGCCCCCTGTAAGGCTGAGTTCACACTGATGCACTGCAGTTTACTGGATCTGCGGGTGCAGCGCAGTGCACCTGCAGGTTAGCTGCAGCTTCTATTATATCTTGCTGGTGTGTTACACGTTTTTCTTTTTTTTCCCACAGGTTGAGCACCCCTGCCCCAAATGAAAAAAATAACCTTAACTAGCAGTGAACCTTATAAAAGTTCTTGAACCTAATAAAAAGTACTATAGTAATTAGAAAATGCTAAAATTACATGTACTTATAGTTAAAGCCCCATCCTTAAACCACCTTCCAGTTAATATACAGTGGATATAAAAAGTCTACAAACCCCTGTAATAATACCAGGCTTTTGAGATGTCAAAAAAATAAATAAAAATAAAATCAGACCTGGCTAAATAACTTTTTTTCCACATGTGTGTTCGCATTTGTGCGTGAGGAAAGGGGGGGATATAATAAATATATATAATTTTTTTTATTTTACAGTTTAGTTTTTTTTTTTTTTTTAAATTGAACTCTATTGCTATCACAAGGGATGAACAACATTGGTCCTCTTTAGACCCTGCATCTCTCATCTGTCCTCAAATCGGCTGCTTTACAGGCCAGTAATGGTTTGTAAACAAACAAACCGAACCCAGAAGTGACTTGTCGCTTCTGGTTTCTTGGGTCACAGAAGTGTACCCGATGTGACAGGTCAAATCAGCCCAGGGCTTCTTGGTGGGACAGGAAGGGGTCCCCTTTCTGCTGTCTGTAAATGTTATCGGGTGGCTCTAGAGCCACTCAGATCACTTTTTTGCCCGACACCATACAATACCAGCTGCAGCCACAGTCCTAGTATAACTGCTTCCTTGCAAGGCTGTATATAATATAGCCCAAGGATGGGAAGCACTTAATGTGACCTAAAATATGTAAGACCCTACATGGTTCGAAATTTGGCAAGTTCAGCAGGGACTGGATACATTTTAATCCATGTATGGGGGCAGATTAACTTCTGTACAGCCAGCCTGTTGGTTAAATGTTGCTCGATCTGCGCTGTATATTGGTTAAGGTGTATTGCACACCGTGTGTGTGTGTATATGTGTGGACACACACACTCTGCTCAGCATAAATGAGTATACCCCTTTTGAAAAGTAAGATTTTAATCAATATCTAAATGAACACCAGAACAATTTTTTTGTCAAAACTGAGCTTTTTATAGAACATTTGTTTAGCTCATTACATGAAATTAAGGTTAACAGTATAACTTAGATTACAAAATCTTCAGTTTTACTCAAATTAGTTGATGCAAACATGAATACACCCCACAACAAAAACTACTACATCTGGTATTTTGTATGACCTCCATGATTGGCGACAAATTGCAAGATCTATCTTTTTCCATTCTTCAAGAACAACCTCTTTTAGAGGCTGGATGTAGAGTGATGCTCAACAGGTCTCTTTAGAATTTCCCATAGGTGTTTGATTGGGTTCAGATCAGGAGACACACTTGGCCACTGAATCAATCAGAAATGTAACGATGGCCTTAGATGTGGGTTGTCGTGCACTTTTCCAACATGACAATGGCACAAAACAAAGGGGACAGAGTTTTATGGTAGCATCTTTTTCAATATAGAGCAGTACATCTGTTAATTCAGGATACCATCAATGAAATGCAGCTCCCCTGCACAGAGCAGCACTCATGTAGCCCCACAGAAGGACACTGCCACCGCCATGTTTCACTGTAGGCACCATGCATTTTTCTTTGTACTCCTCACCTTTTGCGACGCCATACAATTTTGAAGCAATCCGTTCCAAAAACCTTTATCTCTGTCATATTACTCCAGAGTATAGAGTCCCAGTAGTCGTCTTCTCTTTAAGCATGGGCCCTGTCATATTCTAGGTGGGCTTTTTTTCTGCATGGGCTTTAGGAGAGGCTTCCTTCGTGGATGACACCCATGCATGCCATTCCTCTGCAGTATACATCGTATTGTGTCACGGGAAACAAATCATCACCCCAAATTGGCTTTCTTCTACTTAAGCTGACTGCAGTGAACTTGCATGAGATGGCTGCAGTTCCATCTTTAAGTTTTTGTATCACTTTTGCTACAGTATTCTAACTGACAAGTAAAGTTTTGCTTATCTTGTAGCCTTTGCCTTTCCTATCTACAGAAATTTTTTTCTCAGGCCTTGTGACATTTCTCTTTCATGTGGTGCTGTTGCTGACAGCAGTGCCACAGGCTGATAGCTTCCATGCCAAGCCGCATTGAGGCAGTAATTGCTGCAAAAGGGGCCCAAACCAAGTACTGAGTACATATGCATGCTTATACTTTTCCGAGGTCTGATATTGTTCTATGTACAATCCTTGTTTTATTGATTGCATGTAATATTCTAATTTTCTGAGATTGTGGATTTGGGGTTTTCATGAGTTGTAAGCCATAATCATCACAATTATGACAAATCACGGCTTGAACTATCTTGCTTTGCATGTAATGAGTCTATCTCATATATTGGTTTCACCTTTTAAGTTGCATTACTGAAGTAAATGAACTTTTGCACGATATTCTAATTTTTTGAGTTTCACCTGTATATATCAAGTTAGGCAGCCGTTCAGAAATAAATGGGCTATAACACACCTTATCGACCAAAAATGTCAGTCCTGCTGCATATTTTGCAGTATATCACAATGCACACTGAAGTCTCCAGCATTGGTGTTAGTAGCCACACTAATAGCTCCCAACATTTGTTTCAGTGGACCCAATATTAACCCCCAACATTTGCATCCAAGGATGCAAAATAGTCCCCGGCATTGGCGTCACCACTATTAACCAAAACTCTCCCTTGGCATTTCATGAAATAAATCCTGTCATTCATTTTTCTTTTTCCTCGCTAATTCAGATTGCTGCTGTACATTTTTGTATTGTTCCTAAGTTGTCAGACTGTGTTGTACACTCTGTGTGTTTTCTAGGCTCAGGAAGAGTTGGAAACAGAAGGTTTGAAGGGGGAGTTTGACAGAAAGCAAGCCACTAAATCACTAGCCACCACATTAAACAAATTAATAGATAAATTGGACAATGCTGCAGAGGATAAGGGAGAAGAGACAGAGCCTGGGGAAAGCAATGAAATCATGACGCAAGGCAATAACAAGGAGCATGCTGCCAAAGCCCCAACTGGTAAGTGTATAAAACAGTTTTTAGTGATTATGCTCTTTGCCTATAGAGCCAATGTATTCCCCTGTATCCATAGAGACAATGTCTAAATGAGTACTTGCCCTTAAAGCAGCAAAAGCAGTTAACCGCTTACCAGGTAGGGGGTGTGTGTGTGTTTGGTTTGTATGTATAAAATAAATACTATTATATAAATACTACAAGGGAAAATAAGAATTCTGAAAGATTGAAATATCACATGGAGTTAGTGTTACTACTAAACCCACAACAGTAAAATCAGTTTGTAAAAGCAGTAAAGCATGCTTTTTTTACTCACTGTGGACCTTTGGGGTTAATCCTCTGCATTGTGTAAAAAGCATGTTTGATCCTGTCTTCTTTGATCCTCCCTTTCTTCCACAGTCCCCAATCCAACTTCTGATAGAACAGAGCCTTGAGGGCAAGCTGCACATGCTCAGTTTGGTGTGTATTGCTAGAGGTTTTTTTTTTTCTTGGAAGAGTGCACATCAGTGCTGTCCAGACAGAGGGTCAGGGGTCCTTCAGCCTCATAGGAAAATCAGGGGAGAATGAAAACTCCTCCTACAAGCTTTAACCAGTTCTGTGCTGGACCCTGATAGAAGTCACAAGACTGCTATATACTGCTGATGAGAAAAGGTATTTAGCTGTTTATATTTACTAAAATTTCCATGTTCTGTGTACTGTGAGAGACCAGATATAGTGAATGCAGGGTCCTGGGTTTAGTAACACTTTCAAGTATTCAGAGCTTTTACTCACTTTGTTGAAGAACCTTTTGGCAGGAGTCTTTTTGGATATAAAGTGACTAACTTTTTTGCATCTGGATTGGGGGATTTTCTGCCATTCTTTACAAATCCTCTCAAGTGTAGTCAAGTTGGATGGGGTCAGTCATTGGACCACCATTTTCAGGTCTCTCCAGAGATGTTCAATAGGGTTCAAGTCAGGGCTCTCACTGGGCCACTCTAGGACATTCAGAAAGTTGTCCCTGAGCCACTTCTGTGTTGTCTTGGCTGTGTGCATCATTGTCATGTTGGAAGGTGCACCTTCAGCCCAGTCTGAGGTCCTAAGCTCTGTGGAACAGGTTTTCATTGAGACGATCTCTGTACTTTGCTTCATTCAGCTTTTCCTCAACCCTGACCAGTCTCCCAGTCCCTGCTGCTGAAAAATGCCCCCCCACAGTATGATGCTGCCACCACGATGCTTCACTGTTGGAATGTTATTGGGCAAGTGATGTGCAGTCCCTGGTTTCCTCCAGACAAACCATTTAAAATTGATGCCAAACAGTTCAATGTTGATTTCATCAGACAAGAGAATCTTGTTCCACAGTCTGAAAGTCCTTGAGATGCTTTTTTGCAAACTCCAAGAGGGCTTTGATGTGTTTTGGCTTTCATCCAGCCACTCTGCTATAAAGCCTAGATTGGCGGAGGGCTGTCGTAATGGTTGTCCTTCGGATCTCTGGAGCTCAGTGACCATTGGGTTCTTGGTCACCTCTTATTAATACCCCCCAAAACTGTGTCATAGGGCTCGTTCACACTAGGCTGTTTTGCCAACGCTTGCCAAACGCCCCTATAGCGTTTGGCAAGCGTTGGTCCGGTGTTTGCGGAGCGTTTTTAACGCTCGGCAAACGCCGCATGCGCGGTTTAGCGGCGGTTGCTAGGCGTTTGCCGAGCGTTAATAACGCCCCACAAACGCCTATAATACATTTGAGTGGTGTTACCGCTCCGCAAACGCCCCGCAACCGCGTCGCAAAACCGCACCGCAAACGCCGGCCGGGCGTTTGCGGAGCGGCACCATAGACGAGAATAGGAGGCTTCAAAGCCTCCTGACTCGACCAGAGCGTCCTTTTGTCGCGCGACGCAACGCAAACGCTCCTGTTAGAACAGCACCATGTGCTGTAATGTGCAGAGTTGGCAGAGGCGTTTGGGAAGCGGTAAAAACGCTTCCCAAACGCCTCTCTGCCGCCTGCACACAAGGCTAGTGTGAACGTAGCCTTACAATAATCCTGTCTGAGCTCTGCAGGCAGTTCATTTGACCTCATGGCTTTTGCTCTGATACAGTATGCATGTTCAGCTGTGAGGCATTTTATAGACAGGTGTGCGCCTTTACAAATCATGTCCAATTAATTTAATGTACAACAGGTGGACTTCAATCAAGGTGTAGAACCATCTCCTCAATGGTCAAGAAAAATGGGAGCTAAATTCCAAGTGTTTTTGCAAAGGGTCTGAATACTTGTGCCAATGTGATATTTCAGTTTTTTTTTCATACGTATGAAAACAGAATTTTTGAAACGTTTGCAATTTGTCCTTATGATGTACTGAGTGTAGGTTAACGAGAAAAAGAAAGAATTTAAACAACTCTGGTATCAGGCTGCAACATAACAAAATTGCGAAAAGTGAAGGGGGGTCTGAATACTTTATAAATGCAGTGTGCGTGTGTTAGATTTTCCAGATAGAGGATTCATACATAGCCTGTGAAATGACATAAAGACTGTGCATGAGAAAAATACGTGTTTCTGACAACCTTAAAATGCTGTTGCTGGTTTAAAGGTAGGTTCATCTTTGTAATATCTTATACCCGTATTAGGGTGTAACATGTTCCAGCGCGTGCCCTGCTTATGACAGTGGGCAGTGGCTCCTCTTCTTGCACTTTCTATCACATTTTAAAATTAGTGCCATCCGCATAGCTGTGTCATTCATTCACAGGAATTTGTGAATGAAGAAACTATCAATCCCATCTTCCGCCACGACAGACTTCTTGTAACTCTCAATGAACTGCAAGGGTGTTCATAAGCACCCTCGTAGTCAAGTAACACTTCCTCCAGCTTTTCTAGAAGTACGGGCAAGAAAGCTGCAAAAATTAGCACATTTATTATTTTTCTTAAAAGGCGAACGTATAGCCTTTAAGTGTATTGAATCACTGACATGGTAGTAGTGCACAGCCATTGAAGTCAGATTGAATTTAGAATTATGGATCATATTTGTTCCAGACCAGGTACTCAGACCACTGAATCCATATGACAGCCACCAAAATCTTTGGGCATTTTTGGAAAGAGGGTTTAGCATTAGCATTATTCATATTTTTTTGTGACAGATGTACTTTAACCACTTGCTGTTTCTCCGCTGTACATTTTATGATTTTGGCTGAAGTCCGCTTATCGGCTGTGTCCAATCACATAGTGTTCTCGGTTTACAAAGCACAGAACTGTGTACAGGAGATAGCGATCTGGCTGTTTTTTGCTTTTTGAAAAACGTGTAGTAAAAATAGCCATATTGTAAACAAGTGTCATTAGTATAGTGACAGTGTACAGTATTTAGCAGTGATCACTGTATTAGCGTCACTATCGATGTCAGTTAGTGTACCTCCCAGCCCACCATACTACATAGTCACAGTTTGCAGATGCTATAACTTTCACCAATTATTACACGTATTGGAATTTTTTTTTTTTTTTCTTTACCAAAGACGTGTAGCAGAATACATTTTGGCCTCAATTTATGAAAAATGTTTTTTTTGTTTTTTTTTTTAAATAAAAAAATATATATATAGATATATATCTATATATCTCAGTAAGTTAAAAAAAATATATATATATATGTATTTATTTATTTTTTTTATTTAGTTTGGGATTTTTTTTAATTTTTTTTTTTTTAAACCCAGTGGTGATCAAATACCACAAGAAAGCTTAATTTGTGTGGGAGAAAAAAAAAAATAGATATACATTTCATTTGTGTTCAATGTTGCATGCCTGCACAATTGCTGGTTAAAGTAGCATAGAGCTAAATAGCAAAAAAATGCTCTGGTCATGAAGTGGGCAAAACCTTCCAGAGGTCAAGTGGTTAAGGGCCAGAGTGGAGGGTCTTTTCTTTGGAATGTTTTCTTCAGATGAGCAGAAGAGAGGCAGATTATAAAGTATGGAGGCACTGACAGCCTGTAGTGGTTCTTGTTGGTTGAAGAACTTTTAGAGTTTCCATAGATTTAATAAATAGGTATGTTTTTGTATTCCATCTAAAAAGTTGTGTTTTTTTTTTTTTTGTCTAAGTACTTTTAACAACGTCTAGTAATCCTATTTTATGAAGTTTGTTTGGTTTAAGCTACTGGTTCCTAAAGATGCCTCAAGTTTAAATGCTTAGAAAGCATTCTGAAAGTATTGGTAGTTTTTTTTTACTAATATGCACATCGTGGGTCATATTGGCTAAGAGGTCGCAAAGAGTGGTGTGTTACCCCACAGCAGTTATCAACTTGGATTTTTTTTTTTTGTTATCCCTCAAGCACAGTATAAGGGCTCGTTTCACATCATGGTGCAGAGACATCAGTTTTTCTTAACAAAATCAGTTGTTCTCTATGTGCCCTGTTCACATCACACTAGTATCACGCACAGATTTGTTCTGCGCAGCAATGTGTATAAAACTCATTAAAGCATGCATAAAAACTGATGTCTCTGCAAGTAAAATCTGCATGTCAGGTTCCATCAATTTTTCTGCATGTATGGTGTGAACGGAGGCCTAAATAAAAGGAGTAAAGTGGTTATTAGGAGCAAGTCTTCAGAAATAAGGCCAACAGTTTTCTACCATTTTCTACTTTTATATTGGAAATAAGTCTGTTACCTATAACTGTTTTCAGGTCTTCCTTTTGGTAAATACAAAACTGTTTTGTGGATATTTTGCCCCCTTGGTTATCAGAGGAAGCCTCTATGCTCCCCTGCTAAGAGAGAAAACCTATTGATAGATTACAGATCTGGATGTGATCTTGACTCACCCGAACGGCCATTACCTGAGTGTGGCTATGCTGCTTAGTCATTAGTAAACAGGTGGGTTAATTTTTCCTGTCGCCTCTTCATATCAGATGACCATTCGGATGGCCGTGTAAAAGTCAGGGTCACTAAGATACGGAGGGGCAGCTCTGAGCATACCGAGAGGAGGTTGAAGGAAATGAGCAGTGAAAACCCACAGATGAAACTCATTGAAAATGTTGTAAAAGATCTGCTTGAAAAGGAAGGCCTGAAGGCACAAGGTAGGCTTGTGTTGCTCTTGTCAGTCTTGGCTCCCTTTTGGTTGTGTGTGCACAAGGCAGAATCAGTCAGGTGGACTGTAATATAGGACTTTTAATATACACGGTGTAGGTTATTTTGGGGTGCTCCTCTATTAACACCTGCTGTTTTTGATTCTCTCTGTATTACATTAACTTTGGTCTGTTTCTGTAAATGTCTGGCTTTTCTGCTTCTCTGCTAGATTTTCTTTAAGGATATAAAAAATTTTTTTTTTTTTCCAGTAGACTTTTTGGTAAAGTATTCTTTTTCTTTAAATTTCAACCTGAGACTTGTGGTTTTTTTTTTTTCCTTAAATAGAAGTCTATGCATGCCCTGCCTTTCTTAAATCGTTTGACATTTTCATTTCTTCATGTTTGACGACTTCTAAGCAGTTGCATTGTAAAGTTGAAATGGATCGTTTGGGTTTTATATTAATACTATGAATGTCATTCACCAGTTTTAGTCGGGGTTAATCTGTCCTAGCTCAAATCTTCTGTAAATATTCACAGCCAAAGTATACTGCATATGACCTGCAATGTTCACCAAAGGGTAAAAATCAACATTACTGGTAAAGTGCAGACACCTCGTGATGCCTAAAAATACCTTTTATGTTACAATGTCGGTTCCTTTTTACCTGGTTAGGAAGAGAAATATAGTTTTTGTTTTTTTTTTTTTTTTGGTTTTTATTCAAGCTGTCGCCAAACTGGATAAACTTTAAATTATGAGAGCAGAGCAGTAAGGAGACTCCCAGAGAAAACCAGAAAGGGAGGCATTTGCCCATGCTTCAGAGTGCTGGCACCTTCTATAATGTACTGTGCTAGATACCAGTACTTTCTAGAGCCACTATCAAAGTTTATGGCAACACAGAGGTACAACTCAGTGTAGCACTGCTGAGCAGAAACATGAACCTTCATATTTAATGAGCAATTAACAATTTTTAGAAAGAGAGAGGACTTCTGAGTATGCAGTAGTTACATGTCGGGCTTTTTTTATATCCCAGTGGTTTTTATTAATTTTTTAAACATTACAAAACAGAGGCAATAAAACTCGCCCACACGGGCCATGTCGGGCTTTTTAATACCTGCTTCACTGTCCTTGGGTATGGCAGAGCATCTGACTCCTATTTTCAAGTTAGAGTGGTGTAGTCCAGCACTGTTAAACTAGGGTGGGGAGAGAATTATCAGCCCCATGTAAGCACTCATTCTCTGCATTGGGTAAAGAAGCTTCTGTGTCCAGGATCCCCCTCAGCCCCCACTTCTACTTGCCTGAGCCCAATTCCAATCCAGCAATGCGCACAAGGTGTTTAATGTGCTCTCTCCCTCCTTACTGGACAGAGTAATAGCAGCTGGAGCCATCCTACTGCTGTCAGTCAGATACTATGATGAGGGGACGGGCAAAGCCCTGCCGTTTGTGTCAATGGGCGCAGGCAGCAGGGCTCAGGAGTGAGCCCGCACATGTACCTTCCTTAGCAAGGTGGCTTGCTGGAGGGTACTTGAAAGGGAGGAGCCAGGAGTGCTGGTGGGGGACCTCAGAAGAGGAAGATTTGGGCTGCTCTGTTCCAAGCTACTGCTCAGAGCAAGTAAAACATGTTTTAAAAAAATAAAGGTTTAATATTACTTTAAATGAGCCTGAACCAAATAGTATCAATGGTAGCATCAGTGCTGAAGTGCAAATCCAGAAGAGTACCTGTTTTTTGGCCTTCAAACTAATCCCCGTGTCCCCATGCATTATGTCCTCGCCATCTCTTTAAACAGAGGTTGCGTGCATGTATATATAAATATGAAATAACTTCTGTGATGTATTACTTTAGATTTACCATTATTTTCCTGTCAGGCAAAATAGAGATAAAAATCCTAACTGGGGGTTTTGGAGAAGATGATGATGGACACTGGCTTTCAGAAGAGGATACGAAGAACCTGAAAGAGATCTTTTTTAACTTACTGGTATGTGTACTACTTTATAGTCTGCAAAAAGATGTCCATGTATGAAACCTGATAACCAATTTTATGATCCATAGATTGCATTCAGTGCCCTGGAATACTTTTAAGTCCTGAGCTACTGTTCTAAAGTAAGGCCATGTGGGTGTAATTTTTTTATTTAACAAGCATATTGTTAACTTGTACAGATTTTGTCAAAATACTATAGAAAAATGCATTATAATAAGACTTTAAAGCTGTTTGTAGGACATTTCCAATTATTGACCCTTTGCTGTGTGCTTACACTTTGGATCTCCTCCAGGCACTACTCCACACTTTTACTTAAATTGGAGCTTAAACTTTCATGTTTTACCTGAAACACTACCTGCTGTTGGATGAAGCCTAAAAGTAGTCATTCCTAGTGGAAGAATTTTATTTTCAGTCATCGGACTGATGGACATCACTGTGGCAAAGTGGTTAGCACTTCCGCCTATCTGCACTAGGGTTGTCGGTTTGAATCCCAACCATGGCACTACCTGTGTGGAGTTAACATGTTATCCCTGTGCATGCGTGGGTTTCCTCCAGGCTCTCCAGTTTCCTCTCACACTTTAAAGACATGCTGGTTAAATGGCTCCTGTCTAATTTAGCCCTATGTGTATGTATGAATGTGAGTTGGGGACCTTAGATTGTAAGTTGCTTGAGGCTTAGGGACTGATGTGAATGTACAATATTTGTAAAGTGCTACATAAATGTATGGTGTTATATAAATACCTGTCTGTCCCTGTCATTGTATCCTCTACAATATGGCCCTTATCAAATCCTTGGCCATTTTTACTGCTTTAAACCCTTCATGGGACAAATATTATTGTCCTTCAGGGACAGTGTTCATTTATTGCCTAATATGTCCCACCAACTTTCGGATGCCATTGCAATGAGATGATCAATGTTGTTTACTTTACATGTCAGTGAGCATAATGGTGTGTGTGTGTACGTGTGTGTGTACGTGTGTATATATGTTGCACAGTGGATATAAAAGGTCTACACGCCCCTGTTAAAGTGTCAGGTTTCTGTGATGTAAAAAGGAATAAAACAAAGATAAATCCTTTCAGAACTTGTAAAGAGAAATTATTTCAGAACTTTTTCCACTGTTAATGTAATCTATGAACTGTACAACTCAGTTGAACAACAAACTGAAATCTTTTATGTGGAGGGAAGTAAAAAAATAAAAAACTAACCTAATATGGTTGCACACCCTAAACTAATACTTTGTTGAAGCACCTTTTGATTTTATTCCAGCACTCTTTTTGGGTTTGCGTCTATCAGCATGGCACATCTTGACTTGGCAATATCTGCCCACTCTTCCTTGCAAAACTGCAAATCTGTCAGATTGCAAGGACATCTCCTGGGCACAGTCCTCTTCAGATCACCCCACAGATTTTCGATCAGATTTAGGTCTGGACTCTGGTTGGGCCATTCCAAAACTTTAATCATCTTTGTTGAAGCCATGTCTTTATTGATTTGGATATATGCTTTGGGTCGTCACGCTGAAAGATGATGTTCCTCTTCATGTTCAGCTTTCTAGCGGAAGCCTGAAGGTTTTGTGCCAATATTGACTGGTATTTGGAACTGTTCATAATTCCCTTTTACCTTGACTAAGGCCCCAGTTTCAGCTGAAGAAAAACAGTCCCAAAGCATGATGCTGCCACCAACATGCTGTATTGTGGGTATTTTGGTGATGTGCAGTGTTGTTTTTTGCGCCAAACATATCTTTTGGAATCTATAGCCAACCTTGATTTCATTACAGCATACCACATTTTCCCACAGGCGTGGATGTTTTTCTTCCTAAGAAAAGGCTTCCGTCTTGCCTGCTCTTCCCCATTGCCCAGACATATGAAGAATACAGGAGATTGTTGTCACATGTACCACACAGCCAGCACTTGCCAGATATTTCTGCAGCTCCTTTATTGTTGCTGTAGGCCTCTTGGCAGTTTTCTTCTCGTCTTTTCATCAATTTTGGAGGGACGTCCAGTTCTTGGTAATGTCACTGTTGCGCCATATTTTCTCCCCTTGATGATGACTGTCTTTGCTGTGTTCCATGGTATATCTAATGCCTCTGGAATTCTTTTGTACCCTTCTCCTGACTGATACTTTTAACAATGACATTCCTCTGATGCTTTGGAAGCTCTCTGCGGACCATGGCTTTTGCTGTAGGATGTGACTAAGAAAATGTCAGGAAAGACCACCTGGAACAGCTGGACTTTATTTGGGGTTAATCAGAGGCACTTTAAATGATGGCAGGTGTGTACGGACTCCTATTTAACATTATTTTGAATGTGATTGCTTAATTCTGAACACAGCTACATCCCCATTCATAAGAGGGTGTGCACACTTATGCAACCACATTATTTAAAAAAAATAAATAAAATTACAGTTTGTTTTTTATTTTAGTTCTACAGTTTATAGGTCACATTAAAGGTGGGAAAAGTTCTGAAATTAGTTATGTCCTTTTTTTACATCACAGAAACCTGTCACTTTAAGGGGTGTGTAGACTTTTATATATCCACTGTACGTGTGTGTGTGTGTGTGTATATATAGATATATATATATATCTGTCTATCTCCACTGGTTAAAAAAAAAAGTTCACTACTAAACAAGATTTACTTTTTTTTTTTTTTTTTTTTATAGAAGATTGGTGGATTTTATCTTTCATTTTCTTTGGTAATATAATGTGGCTTGTTTAAATACAAGCAATGTTTTATAATAGTACTACTTTATCCTAACTGTTATGTCAGCTGTCTTACCTGCCAAATATTTGTAATTCTGTTCAGCCAGTCTTGTGGTTCAGGTACCCCTTTCAAACATCACAGCCAGGTTTGTGGCCTTTTCTCCCTGGAAGTTGGATTCTCCCTTTCCCAATGGACTGCCATTGCTGATCTTTCTGAAAATGTTGTTCCCATCTCTATCATGCTGATGCTTTGTTTCAGAACTTTTTAAATCCATAATCCAGAGTTGAGAAATTGCCACTCTTCTTGAATATTCATTCTATCCAGTCATGTTCTGATTGTGTGACTCAGAAATGTTGTTTTTGAAGAAGAGTTCGGCTTAACACGCCTTTTCACTTCTGACCAGTGTAACTTCTTTCCCATTTTGAGTACATACATGGGTGCAATTGTGACATTATTAAGTTGAATAAAACATCAGGAATTCCCTGCCAAACGTCTCCTCTTGACTCGTTTTCCCCTTCATTGTAGAGTCCAGATGTCTACTGACTTGTAGGCGTAGAAAAAAAATTGAGATGCAAGCAAGTTCCCCTGTTGAAATACTCTTAAACACTGTGTGACACTTAAAGCATAGCTATGTCATTTTGTAGGTTGGTACCCCATGTGTAGTGATTTTTGGGATCTCCGAATCATTAGCATCACATTCTGTATATAAGGTTGCATTGGAAGGCTTATTAGGTCCTAGAAGAATGGCAATCTGGCACTTGGGTATATGAGCATAATAAAGGTTGCTCAGCTCCGCCTTACACATGTTCCTATATCTATATGCAGACTTCACTCTAGCAAATTATGTGACAACCATGAAGGCCTATTGTGTATTGGGTTTATAAGCTTCAAACCAACATCTTAAGGGTTTCTTTTTGGTTTCAGATTCATGGCACAGAAGATGCACACAAAGAACAAAAGAGACAACAGCAGCTAGAAGATAATTACCGATTTGTCTGGAACCAAAACCAGGATGACACAAAGAGCAACAGTGCTTCTACGGACTCTGATGATGTGGATTTCTAACATGAACTATTAGGAAATTCACCAGCACAGACCAGATTGCCTGATTTTGCCCTGTGGACTTGAGCTTTGCAACAAAACCTTTAGGATTATGTGTTGCTTCTGGAACAATGAGAGGGATTGCAAGCCTTTAGAAGACTATGCAGAGGCCTCAGTCTAGCCTGCAATAGTTTAAAGCCAGTGTTAGAGGATCTGCTGGCTGTGCTAAGTACAACCAGCAGAATAAAAGCAATGTTTCCTTTTTTTGTTTCTTTTTTTTTTTTTTTCTTTCATGAAAAATGTGGTTTACAGCAGACTTCATAACTGTGACCACAGCCTCCTCACCCACCAATATGAACATATACTACTTTAATTTTATTTTCCAATTCGATATTAACTGCACATAAAGCTGTCCTTCAAAGTACTTGCCTTCATGTGTTCTAATTATAGTCATTATGGTGCCCAGAAATGCCGAATTTGCTTTATGTAAAGAAAGCTATTGTGCAGATAATAAGACTGCTAACAAAAGGAGTGACAAAGAATGTACATGTTGCTGTTGTATAGCCCAATAGCTCAGGAATTTTTATCTTTGCTTTATAGGTATTGAATTATTTTATGAACTAGCCATAATCCAAACCTGGCAAACAGTGAATGCAACTTTATTGGAGAGGCACACTATACTGTGTTGGCTTGTAAGCTGTTAGAAAAAGAATTGTTACTTCACCTCTGCCCTGCTCTGACTGAGATCTGCTCTTTTAGAAATGTAGTGTGCATTACACCTCCATATAAGGCTTCATTCACATTGCCATTAAAAAAATATATATAAATGTTTTTAGTTAAGGTTTTGAACGCAGCTGCATTGTTTTCAATGAAGACATTCACACAGGTACGTAAACCTGCACTGTGTTCAATTAAACAAAATCCAAAAATGTGCATCGAAGGACATAAGTATACACGTATGCCAGATGCGTAAAGTTGTCCTGTTTTCTTTTTCCAATCCCTGCAACTATTTACTTTTGTGTATAAAAAAAAATGATGCGTAATAAGATTTATGCCCATGTAAATGAAGATTTACCCTGGAGAAGTCTTTGCTGTCGTCACCTTGTGAAAACAGAGGGGAAAGTCCTAATATCTGTCCTCCTTATTGAGGACGTATAATGGAATTTCAGTGAGCACATATTTTAAGTTATTGTAGCAGTGTTTCCCATAAAATATTTTTTGGCTCACTTTTTTACATTCTTGCGCTTCTATTTTGATGCATTAAATGTAAAAATGTGTAGACCTGGTTTACAACAATTGTGATAAGCTATCAGCCTTACAGGGAATGCATTGTTTTCAATAAGTTAGCCAACCTGATATAGATATAGATTTTTTTTTTTTTCCGTAAAAAGTGGGCTACAAGTAAGGAAGAGACAAAGGGTAAAATGTTCACTTGAAGCATGTAATTGCTTTAAATACACCATAGTTTCACTTTAACTAATGGATCTCAAAATTGACCTAGAACAATTTCAGCCTAATTTAACTTAGACTTGTTTAAAACCTTTCCTTTCATTTCGATTTAAATCAGTTGGCAGTTTTACTCCTGGCAAAGGTAAAGAATAACTAAACTCAAGCACACTTGTAGCTTACAGTCATTCAATGTAGTGGCTGAATTAGTTATCTTTTTTTTTTTTTTTTTTCTACCAACATTCTTAGCAAATATAAAAAAAATACCTGCTTGTCTTGCCAGAAATGCACTGTCCTTATCACTTTCTGTGAGCTGCACAAAACAAGGTCTTCCTTCCTATCTATCTTCTGAGAAATACCAACTGCCCTGCCCCCATGGAATTGAGATGAAAAGACACACATGTTTGTAGTCCATATCAGGAGATCAGCCCAGGGTGACAACCATGGCTTCCTCCATAGATCGTTGGAGGAATGATGTAGCCACACAGTAACAGACAGTGTTATTTGCAGGATCACCAGGTGAATATTAAGCCAAAGAAGCTTGATAAAAAGAGATCAATGCAGCCACCACACCAAGGACTAGCAAACTGCAAAATATAAAAATTTTTGGTTTTAGGTTTAGATGCACATTGGACATTAAGTCTTAGTCCATTCTGTGCATGCATAGATCAAGCTGACAGCACCGTTCATACAGGAGTAGATCAAAGTAAAGTTCCCAGTACACCACATATGCTTTTCCCCACTCCATAGTTTGGTCTTTTCCACCTGTGATGTTCTGAAAAGGGATGGTCACAGACAGTAACAAAATTTTGATTTTTATTAACATTCAAAAAGCATCATTCTTGTTACATTTTTGAGATTATTATACTTGTTACCCAGTTTTTCTAAGCCTAGCGCTATGCTCCTTAAAAGAAAACTGATGAGCTTTATTGGTCTGTCCTTCATTCCCTACTGGTTCACTGATGGAGGAAGATGGAGGCCTGCTTGGAAATTGATGTTTGTGCAGTACTGAAATTTTGTCACTTTGCAAATTCTGACATGGATCTGCGAGAGAGTATTGCATGTGTGGTGTATTCCAAGGACATGTACACACAGGTGTGTGGTGTGTTTTTTTAATTATGTAACTGTTGTCTGCTGAATGCTCTTCTTAATGCTGAACATTTATACCAAGCAGATTGGCTATATACGCCCAGGCAATCACCAAGTGTTGCACTGAACTGGTAGGTAGAAAGCAAAGTTTAGGACAATGCCATCGCTGAGTGTGTATTGCTTCCCTGGTCAGACAGTTAAATCCTTTACTAGCCCTGAGATACAGTTATCATTACTGCATAGAGATCAATAGACTTTTTGTGGGTTTCCTATAGAACAAGAAGGGTGGTCACTGTTGGTATGTCCATGAACAGGTGTGTTCTGGTAATTTTGTTCAAGGGAATAAGAGATGAAAAGGTAAACTGGCAGGCACTGCCTGTCTCATTGGGGTATGGACAGTGGGCATGATCAAGGCAGTGCCCAAGTTGACTGAAGTGAGAGCATCCCCTTGGATAAAAACTTTTTTTATGGCATGAACTGGGCAAAATCACCTGGTTTGGGCTACTGCCTCATTTCTGTTTTTGTATCAGTCAATGAACCCTTCTCAGGATTCAGTTTCCGAAACAAAAATGGGAGTTGCAGCCATTCAGAACTCAAAACACATTTTCATCTCATTTTTATCTACAAATAAAATTTCTGAATTAAGCCTGTTATGGTTATAAAAATATGAAACCATTCTCTTTGGATGTTGAACACAATTTTCTTCCTGTTTTTTTTTTGCTTTGACTTGTTAGTTTGATGCAAAGAAAATGATTACAGTTCCAGAGTCCTGCTGAAAATGTGCAGTTTTGCAATATGAAAACTTTTTGTAATTTTTTTTTTTTTTTGTTTGTGAAGGAGTGCGTGAAAGATTTTTTTATATTGTCATGTCAAGTTTCCTTTCATTCCTGAGGTCTTGATTAATTTATGTTAATTGTATGTCCCTTACAGAAATATTTATTAAAATATGCTTTACTTATTTTTCTTCTGTGTATGTGTGTGTGTGTGTATGTGTGTGTGTGTGTATGTGTATATATATATATATATATATATATATATATATATATATATATATATATATATATATATATATATATATATATATATATATATATATATATATATATATATATAATAACCTCTCTCTCTCTGGGGTGGCAAGCAAATGGAACTTTTGCCCTTTTTGGGTAAAGTTCCACTTTAAGCAGCAGCAGCTATAGTGTCAATGCTGCTGTGATTTCCTTGCAGAAGGAAGAGTGTTGTCACCTTACCAAAGGGAGTGCCTATCCTTCTTCTGTTCTACTGGCATCTATTTACAAAAATGTACCATGGGGTTCATTACTGGACTTACTGATATGGGCAGCCTACATCACATATGGGATTTTATAATCTGACCATGGGCCTACTTTAAGAGACTATAAGGCAACAAACATTTTTCAGAGGTTTGGCAATGGGAGCCTGACATTCACCAAAGCAGCATACAGCTTAGACACCAGCCATTGGACACATGAACTAACTCATACTTATCAGAGATGTAGTAAACAAAATCATCCTGACCTACATTCACTCTTCAGTACATAGTATTTTAAATAAATATATAACACCTAAAACTTTGACCATATGAACCAATGACATTTTCTATTTATAGAATGGGATGAACGCTAAATGGGAATGGAATCAAAAAACAAATACACACAGGATTGTTGGGTGAAGGACTGGTCAGAGAGAAATAATTAAACTAGCACAATGGTGTAATAGCATTGCACAGTGGTATGCCCTATGCAGTGCATAGGGTGTCTTGAGAATTATGGGGCCCACTGTGTATGCAATCATTGCACACATGGTTCGCGGCCACGATGTCACTCTTAGAGCTGCAGTTGTCACTTGCGGCTGCAACTCAAAGAAGATCCATGTTATGAATGCTAGCACTGCGCCCACTCCGCTCCTTTCTTCTAGTGGCTTTTTTTTTTTGTGGGCCACAGACACAACAATGCCACATTCTTACCAGATGCCTGTGTGTGAAGGGAGTGATCACTGCTGTGCTAGTTCTGCTGACCTACCTGATGGTGGAAAAAGACCAAGTTCTAGTACAACCACAGGCAGAGGAAGTGCGATAAAGCCACAATGTACACCAACAAGCCAGATCTAGAGCTCAGAGGCAGACCATTTGTTTTAGGGAGTGGATGTGACATCACAGGTAATGGTGCATGAGCAGAGGTGGTGAATGAGCACTGCATTGTACATCCCCTATTCCATGCTGCCTCATTCTATACTATGTAAACCATCTTAGACTTTACTTAACCACGTCCCTTTAGGCCATGTCCAACATTCAGTGCAATGCAAATTTCACCCACTTTTTCTCAAAGAGGACAAATTTAGGATTTTGCACACAGGCGCTCTGCATCCAGAGAATAACCCTGCCAATGAATGTTTATAAACAAGAGATTTATCTAACTAAAGCCCCTAAAACACTTCCGTAACCCTATCCTAATCAAAAGATAATTTAAAAT